ACTAGCCTTAGACCATCAATTACACTCTACTGATTTCTAAGATACTTTGAAACTTCTGTTGTAAACTAGGCTTTTCTAGTCACGGCTTTAAGGCAAGCATGTCAAACTCTTGGCCTGCGAATATTTTTGCGGCCCAGCCAATATAACGGTATGTAAGAAATGTTTTAATAAAAATTTTGTAACTTAATTTTTACAATATCTTGTTATACATAATTATTAATAATGAACTACAACATTTGCTTATGACTGATTACTATAATTATGTTGCATTCATTTCCCTTATGTGCCTTACGCACAGGCGCACCATTTCTCTCCACTAATACTAGCAGTGAATATTTTAGCAGCCCATTGCCACGTCAGTAGTCTTGTACTGACTTGTTTGGTGTGCGCAACAGGAATTATTTCACTTTTGGAGAACAAGAAAAATAGGTTTATTTGCATTACACTTATTAATTTGTGCAGTTATTTAATGTCTGGTAAGTTAATGTTCAAGAAAAAATACCAATTTTTATTAAAATGTTCTATTATTTTATGTTAATGATTACTCATTTATTTCAGCCCTTTGTATTCAGCATGTCTCTATCGAAATAAACCTATGTTTCTATGAAAATTGAAGCTTTTGTTTTTAAACCTTGTTTATTTGGCCCGTGTTAGTCTTTGAGTTTGACATGCTTGCTTTAAGGTGATCTGTTATCTTAAGCCATTGAAAGGGAATAGCTATGTGTTTTGAAAGAAAGAAAAGAAATCAATCTTTTTCTTATGACAAAGACAATGCATGTTCATTATAGAAAATTTAGAAACTACATAGAAGCAAATGTATGAAAAATCATCCATAATCCCACAAGACAGAGATAACCACTGTGAACTTTGTTGCCTAGCCTTTTAGCCTTTTTAAACAAGTTTGTTTATGCGTATGGTTTTTAAATTTTTATAATTCTTTATTGTTGAAAATATAATTTTTAATTTTTATTGATTGAGGTAACATTAGTTAATAAAATTGTTTGTGCTTTTTTTTTTTTGTTAATCCTCACCCAAGGATATTTTTCCATTGTTTTTTTTTGTTTGTTTTTTAGAGAGAGAGTAGAAAGGATGGGGAGAGACAGAGAAAAACATCTATGTGAAAAAGACATATTGATTGGTTGCATCCTGCATGCACCCCGACCGGGGCTGAGGATCAAGCTGCAACTGGTACATGCCCTTGACTGGAACTGAACCTGGGACCCTTTGGTCCAGGGACTGACACTCTCTCCACTGAGCCAAACTGGCTAGGGCTGTTTATACATATTTTTTTTTTTAATTAAATCTTTATTGTTCAGATTATTACATTTGTTGCTCTTTTTTTCCCCCCATAACTCCCCTCCTCCCAGTTCCCGCCCCACCCTCCGCCCTCACTCCCCACCCATTGTCCTCATCCATAGGTGCACGATTTTTGTCCAGTCTCTTCCCGCATCTCCCACACCCCTTTCCCCCCCAGGAATAGTCAGTCCATTCCCTTTCTATGTCCCTGATTCTATTATAATCAACAGTTCATTCTGTTCATCAGATTATTTATTCACTTGATTCTTAGATTCACTTGTTGATAGACGCATATTTGTTGTTCATAATTTGTATCTTTACCTTTTTCTTCCTCTTCCTCTTCTTAAAGGATACCTTTCAGCATTTCATATAATCCTGGTTTGGTGGTGATGAACTCCTTTAGCTTTTCCTTATCTGTGAAGCTCTTTATCTGACCTTCAATTCTGAATGATAGCTTTGCTGGATAAAGTAATCTTGGTTGTAGGTTCTTGCTATTCATCACTTTGAATATTTCTTGCCACTCCCTTCTGGCCTGCAAAGTTTCTGTTGAGAAATCAGCTGACAGTCGTATGGGTATTCCCTTGTAGGTAACTGAGTTTCTTTCTCTTGCTGTTTTTAAGATTCTCTCTTTATCTTTTGCTCTTGGCATTTTAATGATGATGTGTCTTGGTGTGGTCCTCTTTGGATTCCTTTTGTTTGGGGTTCTCCGCGCTTCTTGGACCTGTAAGTCCATTTCTTTCACCAGGTGGGGGAAGTTTTCTGTCATTATTTCTTCAAATAGGTTTTCAATATCTTGGTCTCTCTCATCTTCTGGCACCCCTATAATTCTGATGTTGGTACGCTTGAAGCTGTCCCAGAGGCTCCTTACACTATCCTCGCATTTTTGGATTCTTTTTTCATTTTGCTTTTCCGGTTGGGTGTTTTTTGCTTCCTCGCATTTCAAATCATTGACTTGATTCTTGCGCTCCTCTGGTCTGCTGTCGGGAGTCTGTATAATATTCGTTATTTCAGTCCGTTTATGCTTAATTTCTAGTTGGTTCCCCAATATAAGATCGAGGGTCTCATTAGATTTCTTGAGGATCTCACTACATTTATCGGCGGCTTCTAGACAGTTCTTAAGAGACCTTAAAAGTGTGGTTCTGAACTCTATATCTTCCATTGACAATTTTGTCCTGTTTCTTTGTCTCCGCATTTTATTATGCTTCCTTGGTGCACCTCCTAGTGGTCTTTGTTTGCAGTCTTATAGTTAAATCTTGATTGTTGTAGCTAATTCCAGGGAGGGTTTGACCTCTAGGCCAAGTGGCTATGAGAATCAGCTGTGTCAGTAGTGAGAGAACTTCTGTCCTCTAGGGAGGTGCTAATCTAGCCTTTGCCTGAGGCTATCCGGCAAATGCCTGTGTGCAGGGCTTGGGCGGGGCGGGTAGAACAGGATCAACAGGGTGGGCCGGAGAGAGCAGTTATGGCGGCTCTCAGTCCTGTCCCCAGGGGCTCTGCCTCTCTGAGTCCCAGTACCCGCTGCAAAGCTCAGAGAGAAAGCTGCACTCGCTCTGACCGAAGCCAGACAGTCCCGCTTCTCCCGTTTGAGTCTGGGTCCCTAAAGACTCGCCCGGATCTGGAGCTCAGAGTCTGCGACTCCCTCCCGATTGAAAACGCCAACCGCGCCCTCCGCCGCCAGCCCGCTCGCGCACTCCGCACCTCAGAATTTGACTTCAGCACTGCGCCTCCTCTGAGTGTCCGTATGCGTTTCTCTTTCCTCCTAGTTGTAGGATTTCCACTCAGCCAGCGTTCCTGTGGTTCTGGGTGATGTCCCTTCCGTTTTTTGGTTTCACTTTTGAAGTAGTTGTTCAAAGCAGCAAACTCCGGCGTTGACCTATGCCGCCATCTTGGTTCTCCCTCCTATACATATTTTTTAAGAAATCCTAGTATATATCTCTTTTGTAACCTTCACTTAATAGGATTATAAACATCTTTCCGTGTCATTGCAAATTTTTTATACCATCATGTTTAATGATTCCATAATGGCCCATTTTATGTAGGGAATGAAAACATTATTAATAAAATGAATATAATTTAAGCCCGGTCAGTGTGGCTCCATGGTTAGAGCATCAGCCCTCGTACCAAAAGATCTTGGGTTTAATTCCCGGTCAAAGGCACATGCCTGCGTTGCAGGTTTGATTCCCAGCCCTGTTGGGGTACATGCGGGAGGCAACCAATGGATGTATCTCTCTCACATAGATGCTTCTCTCTCTCTTTCTCTCTTGCTCCTCCTCCCTCCCTCCTTCCCTCTCTTTCACTCTCTCAAAAAAAAAAAATCAATGGAGAAAATATCCTTGGGTGAGGAGTAACAATCAATCAATAAACAAATAAATGTTAATCTGGAAAAAAAATAAACACATGTCTTGAAGATAGTACATAAGGAAGGGTGTTATAAAAATAGTGTTGGGGCCGAAACCGGTTTGGCTCAGTGGATAGAGTGTCGGCCTGCAGACTGAAAGGTCCCAGGTTCGATTCCGGTCAAGGGCATGTACCTGGGTTGCGGGCACATCCCCAGTAGGAGATGTGCAGGAGGCAGCTGATCGATGTTTCTCTCTCATCGATGTTTCTAACTCTCTATCTCTCTCCCTTCCTCTCTGTAAAAAATCAATAAAAATATATTTAAAAAAAAAAATAGTGTTGGGAATGTGCACTCCTTAGAGCATGCCCACACCCCTCCTTTTCTTGGGCATGAACTTTTGTTCTCTTTTTCCTAAACTCTAAGGGTCCCCACAAGACTTGCAACCAGGGAAGCAACAGCAGCTCGTCCTGGGCTAATCCCCTGAACCTGTCTCCAAGGCCCCCTTTTCTCTGACTTTTCAGTAAGCTAAAAGCAGTCCTGCCTTGGCCCACTTCTGTCATGTGACTTTCACTTCTCAATGAGTCCAGGAAGCCTGGTGTGCCTCACTTCTTTCTTATAAAGTTTTTAGAGAGCCAAACTGCACCGTCTAGGCTCTCTCCTGTTGCTTCTTCTATCCTAAGCTCTTCTTTTGTTTCACTGTCCCCAGCTTTAATAAATATATTCTCAAGAAAAAAAATAGTGATGGGGTTTTAGAACATCTAAAAGGATAGGTTTCATACTCTGAAGAGCTTAAACAATAACTGTAGGCATAATCAATTGGTAACTTAAATAGGACATGGTGTTAATAGACTTGATCCCTTTATTCATCTTTGGGCTGAAGTGTTGTTTTTTGTTTTTAATTTTAAAAATTCTTCATTGTTGAAAGTATATGTCTCCTTTTCCCCCCATTGACCTCTCCCAGTTGCTCCTCCCCCCAGCACTGGCCCTCACCGCCCCCCCCCCCCCCCGACTGTCTGTGTTTATTGGTTATGCTTATATGCGTGCATACAAATTCTTTGTTGATCTCTTACTCCCCACCCCTTTGGGCTGAAGTTTTATGAAATATTTATGGTTCTGGAAATGTTACAATAAATATTCCTGTGGTATTTCGGGTTGCTAAAGGTAAATGATTTTTACTTCCTTGTTTTCCTTTCATTGGAATTCAAGCCAAGAGCCTTCCTGTGAGTTTCCAAAGCACCTTGTATATCAGGGGATATTTGACAGGTGATTTATTTGAAAAGTTATAGAAAGTTTCTTGATTTGGGAACCCTCTGAATCTAATTCTGATTGATGAGGCTGGATTATTCCATACATCTATTTCTTTTTACAGGTAGTGCCTTCCTCAGTGCTATTTTTCTTGCCTTAGCAACATACCAGTCTCTGTACCCACTCACCTTGTTTGTCCCAGGACTCCTTTATCTCCTCCAGGTAAGCACTTGCTGGTCAGAAGCCAGCACTCAAGTGACATTTGATACATGGCCTGGTCTCTGCTTGGGGGAAAGGAGGGCATGGCTTAATCAGGCAATGGGACTGGGTCTCCAATTCACACTTACTAGTACAGCACAGGCTTGATTGGAACATCGTGTTAAGATGGAAAGCAAAATAGTTGTCAAAGATTAATGGTACTATGTCAAAAGAACAGTGGAATCAGTCCAAAGGGGCTCCTGCTGGCTATATTTAGGATATTTTTAGCATCAAGTAATTGTAAAACACTGAATAAATAAAAATCTATGTGTCCATAGTTATGCTCAGAAAAGGGGTGAGGAGAGGGGAAAAAAGTACACATTATCATTAGGTTTGGCTGTTTTACCAATTTCTTACTCTGAAAATTAATAATTAAAAGGAAAGAATTAAGCAGCTCCCTACCTTTTAAAAAGGAACTACGGTTCTTTCCCAATTAGTAAGGCAAACTCTACAGAAGAATGCAGCTTATAAATGTAGAAGGAATGACAGAATAGCAGATCACCAGTGAAATGACTGACTCTAGCAAAGATCATCAAGGATGCCAAATCTTCAGGTGAAAGATTTTTGGAGAACTAGGATATTTGCATGGTGCCAAAATATTACGCCCCACTCCCACCTCTAAATTGTCTGCTAATAGAAAAGGGAAAAATAAATATTTACAAAGGAATGCTCTGGCTGTCACCACCTTAACCAAGTAATCCAACTCAGCATCACTTATAGCAGAACAGCCTGACATGATGTGCTTCTCGATGTGATGCAGCACAAAGTGCACAGCATCAACTCGGAAGTATTCTGACCTAAATGGGTAACCTTCATTAAGCCTCTAGATATGACTTGTGGTTTTTAGGAAATACAAGCGTGGAGGAACAAGTTAAATGATACCATGAGGAAACAGTAAAACAATCAGAATGTAGGATGGTCTATAAGATAGCTAGCTGGTCTGGTTCCCTTGAAAAGTTGTTGTCATGAAAAAGATCAAGTGAGAGTACTGTTCTAGACTAAGGAGACACAATAAGCAAGTGGAATGGGTGAGTCTTGATTGGATTCTGGTTTGGAAAAAACAGCTGTAAAGTATGTTTGGGGAACATTTAGAATATTTTGAATATACATTAGCTATTAGATGATGATAGAGAATTGTTAATGTCTTAGATGTGATCATAGTATTGTGGTATATAGGAAAATCTCCTTACTTTTTTAATATGTGTATATATATTTATTTTTTAATACTTATTTTTATTGATTTCAGAGAGGAAGGAAAAAGGAGTGAGAGATAGAAACATCAATGATGAGAGAGAATCATTGATCGGCTGTTTCCTGCATGCTCCACACTGGGGATAGAGCCCGCAACCCAGGCATGTGCTCTGACCAGGAATCAAACTGTGACCTTCTAGTTCATAGGTCAACACTCAGTCACTGAGCCATGCCAGCCGGGCAGAATCTCCTTACTTTTAGGAGCTACATGCAGAAGTGTTTTGGGGAGAGATGTCATGATATGTAGAAAATTTATGCACAGAGAAAAATTTATATACACAGATAAAAAGTATGGCAAAGTGTTAATATTTAATCTCAGTGACAGATATATGGTTGATTAGCGTATTCTTTCAACTTTTTTGTGTGTTTGAAAATTTTATAGTAAAAAGGAGGGAAATAGAATACAGGCTCTGAAGTTGTCCTGGCTTGGATGGGTATTAGCTTTGTGATCTTGGGAAAGTGACTACTTCTCTATGCCTTGGTTTACTCACCTATAAAATGGGGATAATATAATAGTAGCTACTGAAAAGGGTTAATACATGTCAAATATTTAGAACAGAGTATGATAAGAGTTCAATAGATATCAGTTATGGTTATTAGTGCTCAAATGTTCAAAGAAAGGACAGGGTCGCCAGCTTGAAGGTACATGGAGTGATGAGGGAGAAAAGAAAATATTTCATTTTCTATGGTCAAAGGAACTGTGAAAGTTAGTTTGTACTTCTTTGACACTGCAAACTTGCCTCCATTCTGCTGGTGGAATTTTGAGAGGGTAGGAGGTGGACAAACTAATGTCCAACCAGTGTCAGAGGCAAAGCTTTTTTCCTCTTCCCCATGTGAGACACAGGAAGGCTTCAGCATCAAAGGCAGGGGATGCTGCATCTAGCTCACTAGTGAGTCACTTATGAGAGTGGTAGTTTGAGCCCTCTGGTCTCCTCCCCCATCTCTACTCTTCCTCTGACCTTGGCTTAGGGCCTAGTTTCCCAATGAGAGACAAGCTTAAAATGTTATGATCTGATAGCGTGTAGAATAAAATAGAGAGCCCTAAAGTGCACAGGACCTTGAGGCCGAGCTGTGAGGCTAGCAGAGGTGCCATCAGTGAAGTTCCTAGTTTCCTCCTTCCTTTTGCTTGGGATCCTAAAGCCTTGGATCCCCTTACATGGCTTGAGGTTCTTATTTTCTTTGAAAGAAAGTAACAGAAACCAGGGGAAAATACTTTGTGAGTGCCCTTAAGGATCCAATCTGACCTCTTGTCTTTGAACTGGAAGGGTTACTCCTGTGATTTCTATACTTTCTGGAGTTTGGGGTAGATTACGTAGTTCTACCTTGTATCAAAGGAGCCAAACCCAACCAGGTTTTTCTTGATAATGGGTCCCTTCCCTAGGCATTTTTGGGGCTGTTCAGAATTCTTCACATCTTTTCTCTTTCCCCAGCAGCTTTCTGTTGTCTCTGCTGCTTCCAGAAGGGGGTCAAGGCAGAGGTGGCAATGGTGTTAGCTTTCTTTTCTTTTAGAACAGGTAAAAATGAGGGTAAGGGAATGATCATGCATTTACATGTCTCATCCTTAAACTCTAAGAGCTTAGGTATAAAAAATTTTGTTAAGAGTTTCTTTTCTCTCTTTTTTTAAATTTTATTTTTTAATTACAGTTGACATTCAATATTATTTTGTATTAGTTTCAGGTGTACAGACAGCATAGTAGTCAAACAATCATATAATTTACAGTGATTTCCCCAATATTTCAAGTACCCACTTGGCACCATACATAGTTATTACAATACTAGAGGCCTGGTGCATGGATTTGTGCACTGGTGGGGTCCCTTGGCCTGGCCTGTGTCCTCTCGCAATCTGGGACCCCTCAGGAGATGTCAGAGGCCCGGTGCACGGATTTGGCCCGATCCCTGCAGGCCAGGCCGAGGGACCCCACCAGTGCATGAATAGGGCCTCTAGTCCTATATAATAAAAGGGTAATATGCAAATTGACCAAACAACGGAATGACTGGATGCTATGACGCACACTGAACACCAGGGGGCAGACGCTCAATGCAGGAGCTGCCCCCTGGTGGTCAGTGCGCTCCCACAGGGGGAGCGCCACTCAGCCAGAAGCCGGTTCATGGCTGGCTAGCGCAGCGGTGGTGGTGGGAGCCTTTCCCACCTCCGTGGGAGCGCTAAGGATGTCTGACTGACAGCTTAGGCCCGCTCCAGAGAGCGGACCTAAGCCATCAGTTGAACATCCCCCAAGGGCTCCCGGACTGCGAGAGGGCACAGGCCGGGCTGAGGACCACCCCCCCCCCCGCCGCCCCCAGTGCACGAATTTCGTGCACTGGGCCTCTAGTATGCATATAAGATCTTTGGTTAATCTCTTCCCGCCCTCCCCACTCCCCTGTTCCCTCTGAGATTCATCAGTCTGTTCCATGTTTCCTTGTCTATGCGTTGAGCGTCTGCCCCCTGGTGGTCAGTGCATGTCATAGCTACCAGTTGAATGGTCGCGTAGACTTTTATATATAGAGATATAGATTATTGACTATGTTCTCTATGCTGTACTTTATATCCTTGTGACTATTTTGTAACTACTAATTGTACTTCTTAATTCCTTCATTATTTTTCACCCAGTCTCCCAAATCCCCTCACCTTTAGCAACCATCAGTCTGTTCTCTGTATCTATCAGTCTGTTTCTAATTTGTTTGTTTATTTTGTTATATAGATTCCCCATATAAGTGAAATCATATGGTATCTGTCTTTCTTTGTCTGATTTATTTCACTTAGCATGATACTCCCTAGGTCCATCCATGTAGTTACAAATGGTAAGATTCTATTCTTTGTATGGTGGAATAATATTCCATTATATATACACTAGAGGCCCAGTGCCCTCTCGCAGTCTGGGACCCCTCGGGAGATAACGCCCTGCTGGCTTAGGCCTGCTCCCGGGTGGCAGAGGGCAGGCCCAATCCCTAGGTGCAGCCCCTGGTCGGGCTCAGAGCAGGGCCGATTGGGGAGTTGGGGCGCCGCCCCGTCATGCACAGAGCAGGGCGATCGGGAGGTTGTGATGCCACCCTCAGTCACGCTCAGGGTAGGGCCGATTGAGGGGTTGGGGCACCGTCCCCTGTCACACTCAAGGCAGGGTCGATGGGGAGGTTGCGGTGCTACCCCCTTTCACGCACAGAGCAGGGCCAATCAGGGGGTTGGGGCACTGCCCCCTGTCACTCACAGAGCAGGGCCCATCAGGGGGGTTGGGGCTTTGTACCCTGTCACACACAGAGCAGGGCCAATCAGGGGGTTGGGGCACTGCCCCCTGTCAGGCACAGAGCAGGGCCCATCAGGGGGTTGGGGCGCCGCCCTCTATCACCCACAGAGCAGGGCCGATCAGGGGGTTGGGGTGCCGCCACTCTCACACTCAGGGCATGGCCGATGGGGAGGTTATGGCTCTACCCTGTCACACACAGAGCAGGGCCCGTGGGGGGGGGGGGGGGGTTAGGGCGCCGCACCCTGTCACACACAGAGCAGGGCTGATCAGGGGGTTGGGGCGCTGCACCCTGTCACACACAGAGCCGCAGGGCGATCAGGGGGTAGGGGAGCTCCCCCCTATCAGGCACAGAGCAGGGCTGATCTGGGGGTTGGGGCGCCTTCCCCTGTCACGAACAGAGCAGGGCGGATAGGGAGGTTGTGGCCCCGCCCCCTGTCACACACAGAGCCGCAGGGCCATCAGGAGTTTTGGGCG